TTATGGTGTTGGTTGGACAAAATTAGCAACATGAAGATGCCACCTGGGCCTGCAGAGTCTTGTTGATAAACATTAAGTATTTTCACATTTAATTGATTAATCAATAATGATTAATCAAACAGAATTGACAGTTTAATCAAAAATGAGAAATGTATGCAGTCCAATTTTATTTGATATGTTTTCATAAAAAACTAACTTAAAATATAAAAACTATGTTTGTAAAATGTATTTGGGGCTTCCTGTATGCTTGTATAAACAAGCTAGAAACTACACCATACCGACCTTCACTTGAAGACTGACGGGAATTTGGTCACCTGCTAAACGTACCTAGATGGATTCAACCATAGATGAGTGGATCCTTCACACTCTTCATCACCATAGGCAGCCTACCCTTATCAGCTCTTTCTGTTATGTAACACTGTATGTAAAACTAGGTTGCCTTAAGTTGCACTAACAACAATTCAGACTGAGCTTCATTATGTAAAATGCCAGCCTCAAAAGCCTTTCTCTACAGGGGAAGCCACTCATATTAATCACACCCCATCAGCACGGCTGACACACACACATCACAACTGTGTGTGAGACATGAGAGTTTAATTACCTCGACCACAAACACCACTCAGATTTTAATTAAATTTCATGGTAGATTTGGCTAAGGGCCAAGAGAGAACCTATGGTATTGAGAGTGCCCCCGTGTGGCCACCGCTAACACACTTCACATTTTTTCTTATAACCTCTGAAAACTTTAGATATATAGGTCACATTCTTTCAACACATATTTATGCATAGGCCATATCCACCTGTGGCAACCCAGAGCTGCAGAATCTTTTGTAACTCCTTCACAATATTCCTCCAATCCTCACCAGATTTGGAAATTTCATATTTAAATGGCCTTATTTTAGTTGCTTAATTAATGTGTGCATGACCTAGCGTGCAGTATAACACCATTATTCTTGAATGCCTTATGCAGTTGCAGCCAAATTTAGTGGACACTAGCACAGATTAAAAATTATGTAGTCCTGCATAATGTAATGTTATTTAAACTATGAGAGGCACTACAGATTTTAATGGCTATAACTCATGGGCCCATAAGTGTGAAACTATTCATGCTTATGTAAAGCCATGGTTATAGTACTTTAGAAAATTAGTGTTATCTCTGTTTATGAACATCTAATAGAGATCTAGATGTGTATTAAAAACATTTACAAATGTAGAGGATTCTGCGTCCTCCCCAGCGGCATTCGTTCTCTGGAGTGCTTTTAGTTTAATGATATGCAGCACTTTTTTTTTTTTATCTTTAAAGCTTCTATGTTCTTGCTTCTTCTCTTGTGCTGCCCACATTCTGTCTGGCCATGAGAGGTAGTAATATGGGTATTGGTGACCCATATTAACAAAGGGCACCCATTCTGGATTTGAGATGTGACATAATGAGAACCCAGAAATATCATCATCATCAAGAAAACAATTGGTGCTTCCTGAGATGACTCTAGAAGGAGTCTAATAACATGGCTACTGGATAGCTCCAGTTCATTTCTCCATGAACTTGACAGATCTGTGGCACGTGTACAGTATCCTGCATTCTACTACTTCCCCAGGAAAAAAAAAACTGGTGTAACTAATAATCTTAGTAACAGCTGCACCCCATGTGGGTGTTCCAATACCAGCTCCCTGGTTCTGTGCTGGCTGACAGGCGCCGCTTACTGGGACATCTAAATATAACAGACTGATCATTAACATCAATGAATGCACCTCTGCTTTTCCACAGTGTTAAAAATCGATTCTTTTCTTCAAAGTCTTGTTTTCCCATTTACACATAAAAGTGTCGACAAAGACACATGAAAGTAACCTTTGAGTGGAAAAGGGGCCACACACTGCAGGTCCCTTCATTTGTTTGAGACTGTTGAACTCTACTGTTCTCCACTCCAATCAATACACCTGCCAGCAAACAAAACTGGAGTGGCTGATGTGATGAAAAGTTAGGTGGTTAAATTGAGCCATTAATTTGGCCTTTACATCTCTGTTTGACATTACACTGTGTTTGTAAAAAAAAAGGGAGGTGGAATGTTTCACATTGCAGTTTAAGAAAAACAATTTCAACACCACTCAAACAGCATTTGTTTGAAACTCCATCAGTGTCAACATCCATCCATCCATCCATTATCTATGCCACTTATTCCCCCGAATCGGGTCATGGGCTGGCTGGAGCCAATCCCAGCTGACATTGGGTGAGAGGCAGGGTACACCCTAGATGGGTCGTCAGTCATGGGTCACCAGTCTATCACAGAGACAATGACATGTAGACAAACAACCAGACACACTCACTCCTGCAAGCAATTTAGAGTCCCAGTGTCAGCATCTAGAAACAAAATGATTTTGCCTTGATGCACTGTATGAATGGAGAAAGAAGGTAAATAAAATTTAGAAAATGTCAGAGGAAACTAGATGCTTTATGCAGAAACTTATTATTTTGACCTGTCAATAGCAGTAAACTTGGCAACAGCTTGTGGTACAAGACCTTTATCCAGATATGGATAATAAAAATGCCACAACCTCTGTTCAGTAACGTATTATATCTGACTGAGTGTCTGTTTGTTTTGGGGGGGACAATATGACATTTTCCATAACGCTGGAGTGTTCCTTTCATATCGTTCATCTGTATGTAGAAACTGCATTGCATCTCATCAGGTAAACTCCAAATGCAATCAAACTAACTGAATCCTTTTTGGAGTATTGATTGAAATGTTGGAAAATATGAGCTGATCTTTTCCAGATTCTGTGTAAATTAATTTATTAATATACTGTATAACCCAGATTTGGATAGTCATTGTGCATTTTTCTGGAAATTGTGCAGAGACTTATCCATATATTCTACAAGTGCATCTACACAAAAATGCTGTGGACTAACATGATGAACTTCCTTCAAAAACTAAGTATAACTGCTGATTTTAAGGAACCATTCGTACTGTTTGGAGCAGGAAAGGACTATTTCGATGACTATTGTAGCCTGAATTGTAAATCTGTTCTTGAAAGTATTATATTCACACCTGCTAACTCTCAAACCAAAAACCAAACTTCAGACAAGACCTACAATTATTAATATATACACGAACACTGAAAATTTAGTCAGTGGCAATTGTAGTGGCAGTCACCTGTGCTTCCTTGCTAACCAAACATTCCATGTCACAGGACACAATGCCAACAACAAACTGTGTTGTAATAGTAATATTTCAATATCGAGACACATTTTAAATTAGTTTTGTTTTACATTTGTAACAGTATTTAGATATTTAAATAAATAATTTCTTACTGTCAACACATAGCAAGGTAAACAAAATAAATTTATGGTATTTACATACATACAGTACATGGACTTCTTTCATCAGAATCTGAATGATCTTTATTGGCCAGGTGTGTTGGACACACAAGGAATTTGACTCTGGTACTGCGGCTCTCAATGTGTATGTCCTTATGTAAGGCAGCAATGGGCAAGTAAACAATATAAGGCTGAGAACAGAAAGGAAAGAAAGTAATGTGCAAACAAGCAAAAGGAATGTATCACGATTTGCGAGTAAAACTGCTGATAATGTCGATGGTGAACTCAGTTATTAGGCCAGAAGAGGAAAAGCACAACACTGTCTCTTTAATCAGAGCACTGGTCAAAAACACACGATAAACAATGCAAGAGTCTGATTCAACATGTAACACTCTCTGATTGATAATCCAGTCCAGGGTTAGAGCCAGCAAACTCACACATCCAAGGTATCCAGAACAGTCAGAAGGGGAAGTCCATAAGTTGGTGAACAGAACCCAAACAGAATCAGAAAGGTTAGGCAGTACTCGGTGGTTACAAGGAAATCCAGGGTCAAAGCTGGACTAGAAAAGGCACTGGAAAGTCTGAACATGAGTTAGAACAATCTGGCAGCTTCCTGGTGGGAGGAAGCTCGGGAACAGGAACAGCAGTCCCAGCTAGTGGCTCATTGTTGGCACACTGACTCTCTTGGGCCCTAGTGGGGACGTTGTCTTCAGCATACCTGGGTCCTCTGGAGCCAGTGGGGACGTCACCATGAACAGGCCAGGGAACCTGCAGAGGCTGTGGCAGCTCGTGGACTGGCTCTGGCGGCTGCTGCCAAGGTGCTGCGGCTGGGGATCAGGATGGGACAGAACTGGAGGCTGCTGCAGCTGCCGGAGGTCCAAACAGGACTGATAAAGAGGGGGCTGCAGCAGCTGGAGGGAGGTTTGGCTGAGGATCTGACTGGGGCTGAGGTTTCCTCCTGATTCTTCCTCTGTCTGGACCCCCAGGACAGAGGGCCCACCAGGTTCCCTCAAAGGGTGAGGGTTTGAGGTCTTTAGGGTCCGGGCCAGGGGACAGAAAAAGAGTACCCAGCTGAACAGAGGACTCAGGACAAGGGCAGCATCGGCGGTCCGGCCGACCCGCTGGGAAACTGGACGGTGCACGGGTTGCATCTTGGGAACTGGCCAAGAAAAGGGCTTCAGTGCAGGAAGGGAGAGTGGAGAAGACATCTGGGCCTTTAGCTGCCGATAAATGTCCTGGGCTTCTGCTGGGCTCAGACAGGTCTCCATGGGCTGAGACTCAGGGGCAGGCTGGTGTCGACCCCTCCTCCTGTGCCACTTCTTCCCAAGCCCTCCAAGATAGAGAACTAACTGGGATCCCAGAAAGGGTGAGGGCTTGGGGGCAGAAACAGGTCAATCTCAGGATCCAGGGTAAGGGAGTACACCCCCAGCCTGATGGAGGAGTTGAGGTTCTGTGAGCAGGTGGCATGGGATCGGCTCATATTCCACGGGTCATGTGGTTGCAGGTAAGCAGAGTAAGAGTGGCGACCAGGTAAGCAGAGTGACATACTGTACCTGGTGATGATTCTGAAATTCCCATGCAAATTAGACCTGCACTGTAGAGTCATGCTTTGTAAATATAAATACTAGGTTTGCAGCTAAGTTGCAATCAAAAAGATTTAGAGAAAAAAGAAATGGCTGTGAACATTCAATGTCCACATGCCTCTGTTTTTAAATTGCTATCAAGCAGTGTTGCTTTTTTCCGCCACAGTGATGTCGGTTACACCATGAACCTGTGTGAGCTGCTTACAGTCCAGCGAAGCCAGTAATTTCCTTGGTCCAGAAAGCGTTGGGACAAAGTGCTCAGTGAGAGACACGGAGGCACGGCTGCCAATATCTCTGAGGGTAGGACAGGAAATGACAGTCGCAGTTGCAAAAAAGAAACATAAACAAGGTTTTTTTTTTTAAATGAACACAGTATATATTTCCCCCTTACCCATAATTAATCTTTCGAGCATTTAGAAGGCCCAGTCCTTCCACATGGAATATCACTGCTTTCAGCATCTGTGGTAGGGGGTTAGTAAAAGAAATCTCTACTGCCATCTCGTCCCCTACCACGGCCTTCCCAACTGGCTGTGTGAGAGGGGGACAGAGAAAGAACAATCAGATCTGAAATGTTATGCTAATCTTTGTCAGCACTCTTTTCCTGATGAGCTGTTAGTCATACCTTTAAGGTGAGGTCTGGTGTCCTGAGTCGGAAACTGAACTGAGTGGCCAAAACCTGCTGTGTTTCTTTGACCCTGCCTGACAGTGTCAGCATCAGAGCAGCCTGATCTATCAGCTGGTCCTTGTAGTCTTTGTACTCCATGGCCCACTCCAAGGATTTTACTGTATACAGGAAATAGCAATAGCATACAAAATACATCTGAGAACAAAAGGACTTCCTCTTATTGTTTCCCCATTAAATTGTCTGTTGTCTTTAGTATCAGCACTCAGTATCTCTTGATGTTAAAGTAAAATTTTGGCAATTTAACCTAATTAGCTTTATATTATTGTATCAAGTAAAAATGTTAAAGCAGTGGTCCAACACTGATCGCTTCCTCGCCAAGAGTAAGATTTGAAGTTTGATACAACTCCTGTGCCTTATGCTGTATATGAAACTACAGCCAACAGCTAGTTAGCTTAGCTTAGCACAAAGACTATAAACAGTTAACCCACCTCTGTCCAATAACAAAATCAGCCTACTGCTAACGCTCACTAATGAACACATTTAATACACATGAAAGGCAAAGTATACACTTTGTCCTTTAACTAAGGTTATGAGATAGACCATTTCAGGAAGATGTACCATATTAATTAGTGAGCTTTAGAGGTGCTAACAGCCAGACTGTATTACCTTCGGACAGAGTTGGGGAAATTGTTTCCTTCTGTTTCCAGTCTTTGCGCAAACTGAAACAGATGTAGGCTTTCGTTTCATATCCTAAGGACAGAGTCCTTAAGTATAGTATTGATCTTCTCAACTAGCAAGAAAGCAAATAAGGATATTTCCCAAAATGTCATTCTCTCTCTTTAAGCAGGATAAACTTACTATTTTACTAAGATAGATTCACTTTTTTAAACAATACCTGTTGATTGCGAGAGAGGAAGGAATGAAAATCTTCTATTGGCTAGGATATGAACAAAAGAACCCTAATTGCCAAAACCTACATGTTCTTGAAAATCACCCTAAAACCACCTGCTCACCCTCGTTGGGCATTACTTCCATGACTACTTCATCCTTTCTGACTGTGGCCTTGAGGACACCTGTGTAGTACATGACTGCTGCCTGGCCATGCAGGGTAACCGTGCGTTGTGCTGAGCTGCTGTTTTGCAGCTTAATAGTAAGCTCTGCATCCTGTCCCATTTTAGGACCTTCACCATCCATGGTCACTTCTATAGTGACGTCTGCTGTTGGAGATGAATAGGTGCTTGCTTTGGAGCCGTAGTGACATGCTGTTTCCACAGCAATGCGCTCCAAGTCTGTACCTGAGACCAGAAATGTCAAGTTAATTCAACAGCTAGGTCACACCCTTTATCATAGGGTTTTTGTACTCAGTACTGCTGTCTGGTGCTTGTGATTTTTGTCCACTAAGCATTTTATTTACCTTCAGGATATTTGTAAAGGTGTGTGATGTCATAGCGTTCATCAGAGCCAACAGCCTTGGTGCTGATGTTGTGGCCTACAACCTTTTCCTCACTGTAAATCTGACTGAAGGTCCCATCTGCATTTCTCTGCCAGTAGATTTTATCACTGTTTACCTGATGATGCACAGAGGAGGGGGAAACAAAACAGAAGGAGTTAGAGTAGAAAGCTTTGAACTTGCAGTACATACAGACAGGTGACAAATGGAAGGAAAACCCAACATGAAGTGTCCTAGTAAACAGCTTCAGTGCACCTTAACACTGACTTTCCAAGTTTCTGAACTCTAGTGGAGAGATGAACACCATTTTTCCACAAGATATTCCCTCATGTGATGTTTTGATGATGGTAAATGGTTGTATAGCCTTTCTGTGCTTTACAGCTCACTCAAAGTGCTTTCACACTATTCGGCCATTCACCCATTCGCACTCCCAAACACACACACACATTCACACATCGGTGACATCACCGGGAGCAACTGGGGGTACAGTGTCTTGCTCAAGGACACTTCGACATGTTGACTGGACAAGCCGGGAATCCTCCAGTTAGGAAACGACCCACTCTACCTCCTGAGCCACAGCCGCCCCCCATGATGATGGTGGAGATGCTGTCTAACATGTCACTCCAACATCTCCCATAGGTGATTAAATGGACTGAGATCTAGTGACTGCGAAGGCCATAGTATATGATTCACATCATTTTCTTAGTCATCAGACCATTCAATGACTCTTAGTGCCCTATGGATGGGGGCCTTGTTGTACTGGAAGAGACCACTCATTTATTCAGGTTTTACCCTTAATTTATCACCGTATGTATGTAATCTGTCAAAACAAGACAACAACTAGAGGATTAGTTGATCACTCTTGTAGGTCACGTGTGTGAGAAGAAACTGTATTTTAGAGGGGTTTTTCCTTTTTTTGCCACATTGATTTTGACCATTCTTGCCCTGTAACTTTATGAAAGTACAACACAGAATTTCTGGTGTTCTCTTTTAAGGTTAATTATGTGGTTAACAAACCTCAGCAAACACAAATGAAGAGTCATGTTTGAGGTAGACCTGACCATTGCGGACAGCTGCAAGAGAAGCAGGGCCACAGTTGTAGATGCCCTGACTGGTCTCCTGAGGTGTGGCGTCAACAGCTTGCCACCCTCCATTGCCCGGAGGCAAGTCTGGACGAGCCATCCAGCAGTCGTTCCACACATGGAAGTTCCTTAAAATAATATATGAAGATGAAGCTTAATAACCTCAAATGTGTAATGATGAGTAACAGTGTGTAGCAGCATTACAAAGACAGTGAAAGAACACACCAGACAGAGTCAGTATTGAGATGATCTATAGGCTCCAGGTTCTCGTCCAGGTATACGTCTGTGGTCAAGGAATTGTCTGTGTCATGAGCTGAGCTGAAGTTGGTCACAGTTCGAGTGGGAATGCCTAAACACCGTAAAACTGGAGAGATGATAGCATTATAAAGCATAAGTAATCACTATTCATTTTTTCAGTACACCAGTGTAAAACAAACACTAACCTGCAGTGACCACGCCAGCAAAGACCCAGCACTGGCCATACTTAACGGGGGTGCCATTGTTTTTATAGTATTCCTTCAGGATTTCCACACTTCCACTCCACACTGTTGGAGTAGTTCCACCTGAATAGTCTCCTGACCAGTTTCCCTCCAGGACCCCCTGGTCATCAGGGGAGTTGACCTGGGTAAATAAAAAGTGTTTTTGTTTGTTTGTTTTTTGTTTTCATATATACTTCTGAGTCTGAAGCAATACAGTCTGTTTCCCAAAAAATAAAAAATCCTGCCTCTACAAAAGATGCAAGTCCTCTCTTTCCATTGGTGTATATGCTGTAATGGCATTTTTTTAATGATAGTATCCTTTTAGTGGTTATTTACTGTGTAATCCATTACTAGATGTATATCACATGGTCGTAAACCTTTGCATGCCCCTGTGAGAGAGAAAAACCAGATGTGACCTGAGACCTAAGAGCTGATGTCTCATAGTAAATAATATCTTGTTTGACTTATCTGTTTGAGTAACTGTTTTTTGTCATAGTATGTTGGGTATAAGAAGGGAAGTCGCATTCTGTTCATTGAGCTTCTTCCCTCAGACTGCCTTGACATTCTGTGTACAATGCTCAACAACAAATTTCCACAGCTGCCATTCATGGGAGCAGAAACCATGAATGGGCTTATAGATATGACAATACTTTCTTATCTGACAGGAAGATGAGCAGTACAAAGTAAGAGCTGTAAATGGCCCACAGCTAAAGCTACAGCTACCTTTATTTAATAATATATATTTTCTACATACATTCAATAAAGCAGATGATTATTTATTTAACCTTCATTTTACCACTGAAAGAAATCCCACTGAGGTTTACAAGTTCTTTTGCCCTGGCAAGACAGCAGCATTAAAACACACCATACAACAGTGTTTAAAATCTTCACCGAAAGAATTGTTCCACCAAGAACAAAAAGAAGAATCACTAGTGATTTTACAACAGACTCGATTTGAGTTCCCTTTGCAAACTTTTTCCAGTGACTGGAACAGAAAACATGAACAATTTTTGTCCAAACACTGGGGACACACAGCAGATATGTGTCTTGTGATCTAAAATTATAGGTGGAAGATGAGTTCCACAACCTATGTTTGCAAAGGTATTGAGGAAGCTTAGAATGGCTTTTTAAATGAAAATGTACCAATGCCTCAAATGAAGCATAGAGAAATGACCAGCTGATTCTGGAGTACAGAGCACAGCAGTGAGTTATTAGCTAAAGGTTGGTAACAGACCTTAATGTGCTATGATAAACAGAGTCCAACTTATGATGACATTATGCTGGAATGTTCATGTATATTGAGTCACTGTAATCGAGAGCTGGTAAGAAGGCTGAAGCAATTAACCCTAAGTGGCTCTACCAGTTTTTCAACATGTAAGAGAGATGTCAAGCCATTATATCTGTATTGTCACAATTTCAGCAGTCTGTTAGATGAAACAGTGATTGTATGTATTTTGTAACACCCAGGGGGTTAACTAGTTAAGTCTATCCAGCTATGGTTGCTGCTCTGTGAGGGTGTATGTGGATGCAGCAGAGCTTTGCGTTAAATGCTAGCATCACCCTGCTAACATGCTCACACTGACAATACTAACATGCTGCTGTTTACGTGCTGATAAACTTAATATGGTCTGTTAGCATGCTAACATTTGCTAACTTGCACTAAACTCAAAGTACAGCTGAGGCTAATGGTTATGTTATTTTTCTGGCATTTGGTTATAAAACAAAGTATTGGACAAAATGAAGTTTTGACCTGATGACGGCGCTAGAGGAACAGTTAGGGCATCATCAGTTTTTACAGTGGGAGCATGTATGTTTGTGCTCGTGGCAGCTCATTCAATAGCTGAGACTTTTTATTCAAAACCAGAAATACCAGCCTCATTCCACAAGAGAAAAAAAAAAAACAAAGCCATCAAATTCACAGATTAGATGAAGGTTAGAGGATCAGTACTGTCAATAGAATTGATCCTCTGTAATGATCTGTAAAAAAAATCTCATGGAAATATGACCAATAGTTGTATTTCAGTCTGGACTAAAGTGGTGGACTGACCCATGCTGCTATCGTGGTTAAAAATGGCATGATTATGGCAGTAGGACACATTTAAGCACTGCAAATACCTTTCTGTCCAAAATTAGTTTTGCTCTAGTACTCAAAACAGATACACAGAACAATCCAGCAACTTAGACCCTATAATACTACAGATGTCCTGTTGACTCACTGCTGTGATGTGTAAGAAACTGTTATCATGGCCAAAGGCAGCTGAGTGTAACATACTGAACATGGGTTTCTTTTGTTGTGGTCAGTGTATGCAGACACATTACAAAGGGGAATGTAAGCAGATCTGGTGTAGAAAAAGTTTCTGCGGTCCCACCAAGGCTGAGATGATTCGTGCCACATTAACTGGTTCGCCCCAACCAGACGGAGGAGTTCCACTCTTTTCCAGGATATAGAGGCAAGCATCAAGAATCTCTTCATCAAACTGAAAGAGAAAAACACATGGAGAGTGGGAGGATGTCACTTTCTGATGTGGGTGGAGAGCACAGCCCACTCACCTGTCCATAGTTCCAGGTCCTCATCCCAATTTGATCTTCTGTGCCATAGTAGATTTGTCCAACGTCATTCAGTATATACTCTTTCTTCTCATCTTCAGAATCCATGAACACTGTGTCATCTGACAGAGAACAAGCAGCTGTAAAACTGGAAGTAACAGTTATTCTGAGCAGTGGGTGAGCTGTCTAAATCCTAAAGTATGGCTTCTGGCATAAACTTCAACTTTTCACTTTTCTTTTTTATGAAATTTGTTTGTCAAGTGCAAATCTGATATATCTAGTATGTACCTGGATGCTAGTTATCAACTTCAATTTTTGTGACAGCGCATGTCATTTAATGCTCAGCCAGAAAGCGAATAACACAAAATGTTGAATTTCTTCAACACTGCAAGTGACAGTGTACCATCAAGAAATAACCACAGAGTTACACTGTTATATGGTATATGGTAATGTACTATAAGGTGTTTCTGTTATTTTGACCACCCCTGTAGTACATCAGCCAAAATTGTCAACCTTATGTGCCTTTCATAGCAGTGTATGGCTTAGAGATCTAGCTGAAGCATGTTTACCTTCACACCAGGGGTTGAACAACATGTAGATGTCATTAGCAGGAGTGTGTGTGGAAATGGCCTTATTGTCATTTCCACAGTTGGTTTCCACAGTGAGCTGATATCGGCCAATGACCGCCGTGGGTGGAGAATTAACAGACAACTTTATCTTTTTGTCATCGTGTGTCACAACAGCAGCCTCCCAGCGATTGTCCTCCAACTCTTCCACTAAAGGGATTATTATGTGGGTTCCCTTTGAGACTGATGGCAGTGGCCCTGAGGAGACACACATTATATACATATGATAGATAAGAAATATAGCATGCTAAAATGTAGCTGGTTGTTGTTCATACCAAGCCAACAGAAGCAGAGCACCACACGGTTGAGTTATTTTCATCACAATTCACCTCCCATGAATGCCACACCTGGATTCCTACAGTGCTGGGAATGGCTGAGTAAACAGAAACCAAAAAGTAAGAATCCAGAGTCTATAGTCATGACACATGGCACAAACGCACACAACATGTCATTGCAGCATTTGGTTTCAGTGTGGCTGTATTATAATAGGTGCAGCTCCACTGTCTGCCATGAACAATCTGTATGACATCTCCATCCTGAGTATGAGGAGAGATCCTCTGACCTCCAGAGAGAATTACCAAGACACACAGTAGTCTATATTAAAGAACCTTATAATTGTCAACATTACATAAAACTGTTAAAACTCTATTTACAGCTAAAACACTGAGGTGTCCCCTGAAGTGATTGTGGGTTATTACAGCCCATCCTGGTTTTTACCCTCTGTCCTCAGTGGGCGTGATGTTGTTTGCGTTGAGTCACTTTGCTGCAACTTCATCATGAGCTGTTCATTTGAAGAGATGGCTACTGACTGTGTGTGACATTTGGAATGTGAACCTGCCTAAACATTATGAACTGAAATGTATCTGCCACTGCATTACACTGAGAGAATGAAATACAGCATTAAAACACCAGGGTAGCAGAACGGTGACGGTGAAGCCGCAGCTGTGCTTTACCCAGCTGCACTGCTAGTCTGAAGGACAGGGATGGGCTTACTTTCTTTCCTTTCTTTCTTTGTTATTTATATAAAAAAACTAATCATGAAAATAACATATCAGTTCATACAGAAGAGAACTAAATTGTCACTTTAACATGACATAATATTACAAAACTCAAACACAATTTGGAACACTTTCAAATAGTAAAAAAGACCTTTCCATAACAACATAATATATATAATGTGCATAGTACATGACCGCACTGTCATGCATTGTTTTTATATTTGATTTGTATGAACACTGCGAAGCACAATGTGCAGCTTTATTCTGAACAACTTGCAATTTTTTTTATATCTGTCATTGAAGCACTGGACCAAATCACAAAACAGTACTTGAACTGTGACAGAGCTAAAGCACATATAACTTGTCTAGTGACATCTGGTGCCATGGTTTTTGAAACTCTTCTCACAGCTGACAGAGTGCTGCCCATTTTATTCACAATGGTACCAATTTGCTTAAACTATGATAATGAATTATCCAAAATTACACCAAGGCTTGCTGGTGATAAAATCATTTACATGGAGAGAGAGAGAGACTGTGCTCCACAGAGCCCACCACACTAACAACTGAGTCACGATGAAGCAGTGTCTAGTTCCAAGGTTAGAATAAAATTGATACAACTACTGGTAAATATCCAAGACATCTGCTGTAGCTATTCACTGTCCACAGGTGATGAAAACTACTTTGTTGGTGACTTCCTGTGCTTTTCTATTGCCTCAGAAATTTGATCAAATGTACACCATCAAAAGATTCCCCAGAGGCTGCAGGCTTACAGAAATAGTTTGACATTTGGGGAAAATTGCTTATTTACTTTCTTGATAAGAGTTAGATGAGAAGATTATCAGTCTAACTACAGTCTAGAAGTTGCAGCTCCTGGCCAAAAATAGTCAGAGACACAGCCGTTTTTAAAATCACAACGAGAACTTTTACACTTTATTTTTTGCACAAATTATATCAGAGTCTTTCATCTATAGTCCTTAAGGGCGAACATTATATTTTCAGTCCTGCACCAGGTAAGATTCTGTTCAGTCTGCCTGACATCTTCATCTGACTCTCTGAGCCTTTAGCAGGGCTTCAGACCTTGAAGCACACCACAGACCACAAAGTCAGGACAAGCAACTCTCACTGCTAAACAGTTTTCTAATGGCCACCATTTGGAAAGGGGTGGTATGATTTTCAAAAGCAAACAAAAGGCAATACCTGCAGCTGCTATTGTCCTCCTGTTTAATACTAGTATGAGTATGACAGGTGGCTTTTTGTAAATTACTGAATTATTATTCACAGTCAGTGTTGGTTTTTGTCATTGCATCAGACTGTGGACATTGTTTTTGTTCTCAAGAAAATATAGAAAATAACTTTTTTGGCCATTTTATCTGCAAAACCAGTAACTATACATTAAATCGTGCATGCTTCGTCAGTGTTAAGCAGTAAACACAGAGTAAAAATGTAATTCCTATTGAGGATGCACAGCATTTCTGAGTCACTATAATTACTCTTTTCAAGCTTTGCCTTGTATCACTCACGACTGTAATTGTAGGATCTATATTGGTCTGTGTCCTCACTGTGTTATTGCACCCAACACAGTGAGAGAGGAAACAGAGAGAGAAATGAGCAGTGGGTAGACAGGTGGCGGACTGAGCCTCAGACAGTTGGTAGTGGCAGGATTATTGGTGAATTGTCAGTGGACAAAATTTTTGGTTAGGGTGGAACTGAGGATTCGGCATCTGTAAAATGCTGTCCCTGAAGCATAGCAACCAGAACAGTTACCATAGCAATAGCAACCAAAAGTCTCTCTCCATATCGCTTCTCTCACGCTCTCTCTGGCTATCTGTACATTTTCCTATATTACACACTGATACAAGAAAATCTATTCACCCCCGAGCAGCCACCTGCAAAGTGTTAGACATGAGCATGACAGCAAAACATCTTGATGGAATGTCTTGTTCCCATCACCTTGTTTTCTTTTCCCATAAGAAACAGGGAATTCTTGATTATCATGTGTGGCTCTACATCAGGGAGGCACGTGTGTGTGCTTTGGCCACATATGGTGCAATGCGATGTGATGCGATATAACCACTTTATTGGCCAAGTATGTAACTTGGACTCTTAAGATTAAGGGCAAATCACATGTGAAATTTATATAAATGTAATTTGTTTAAGCTGTTTCCTACAGAAAGTGTCTGTCTAGCTTTATAGTGTTATTCTGATGTCTATTTAAAAACTAAAAACACTGTTGCTAACACTACATTTCTGGATTTAAGAGATGAACTGAAGTGTTTCATTGACTGACCTGTTTTAAGTTCCAGGTGAAGTTTGTCAGTGTTGGGGTTGAACGATCGAGACAGGGTAATCCACATCTGGAAATTCTGTCCTCTGCGAATAATTAAATTTTCACGGTGGTATAGATTTGTGTGATGTTCCATGCGGTTCGGCCCTGATTTGCTTTTCAGTAGGTCTATTGATCGCACTTGGAGAAGGTGTTCTGCTAATACAAAGATATGACAGAGTGAAGTCTATCATATATCAGTATCTTCTGTGATAAATAACACAGTTTCTTTCTTTCCAAGATGTCAATTATCATTAAGCCTGCTGTCCTCAGCCACTGGCTTCTTACCGCTGAGCTCGTGCTCCTCATTCAGGTCATCCTTCCCTATGACCAAAATGTGTGCGATGTCATCATCATTTACTTTGGGACTGCAGGATGGGCAAACTTTACACAGCCACTGATGGCATGCATTTTTTTTCTGAGCATGATTTTCTTCTGGTTGTTTCTGTCCTTGCTCTGTGTCTTCCTCAAATCCAAGAGTGACAGATGGAAACCGACCCACTGCAGATCTGTCTCTGATTGGCTGCCTCTCTACAGGCATCCTGAACAACAGACAAACACAATGAGGAAATCTAGAGCTTAGTCATTAATAATGCATTGTTTTACTAAACAGCCCCACCACATTTTTAAATTTAAATTTTCCTTTGGGTGTTAAACACATATCAGATGCTCCAAAATTGTCACATGTGATTAAACAGTAAGATAACCCACTGCTCAATTAAGAAGAAGATGTGACATTTTTGTAAATGACACAATTGAGTTAAGCACCACTTTTATTTCTTCATATCAACATACCATCATAATATTGGCTGCTACACAATAGCATGTTTCAGTTAGACTGAGATTGACAGTGACAAACTTCTGATTTGAATCCTTGTGTTGTCAGCAGCAATATCTGTCTGTTGAAATGACCATTATAAAACAAGCACATATATGAAAATGAAATCCTACCCTTAGATAAGATTCGAATGAGTCCATGCAAACATATTTAAGTTATGTATAACACTCAACATTTCAAGTTATGGTTATGTCAGACTGTACTGCAGGCTAGTCATATGAACTTGAGCCCTCACTGACACCACCCATGTGTGCCTCATGAATTAAATCCAAACTGGATGGTATTTAATGCAATTAATTATGTGAAAGTGGCTGTTGTTAGAATAATGTTTTAACATAATTGCACTGTAGGTATAAGCTGGTTTGCTCAAGTTTGCATTTGTACAATCACTTGGAGTTGATTGTTTAAACCATTTATTTATCCATCATGTGCTGGTGTAGCCTTTTTTAAAATACTTTAACCTACTTTGATTATTTATTCATCAATTATTTACTTTTATTAGCTTAATCTTAAGTATATGTATTAGTGTAATTTTAAGTATGGATTTCTAAATATTTCAGTTAATTTTAGCTATTTGAACTTCATAATTTTAAGCTTATTTTTAACCATTTCACCATTTAATTTTTTTTTTTAGCTTTTTAACAGCATTATTTTTAGCTAAGTATTTAAACCATGATGTATTATATTTTTTATCAAATTGAAAGTTCTATTTTTTAATAGCTGATCTATTCTGCAATCTTTCCATTACATGTTTTGGAATTACTGATTTATGTGAAGAGACCCAGGAACGCTCTTTTATAAAACCATGCACTGTACAGTGTCACAGTCGTATCCCTCCTCTTGTCTGTTCATTCAAGGCCGTGCTGTATCAATACAACTAACGTATTAACTGAAATTATTGAATAGATATTGTTATGATGTACAGTAACTACGGATGAGTGACAAAGGGCAAACCAACTTAAAATGTCTCAGTAAGGTACTGAGCCACCAGAACAGCTTCAATGCACCTTAACGTTGACTCTCAGAGACTCTGAATTCTACTGGAGGGATGAACCCCATTTTTCCAAAGGATATTCCCTCATTCCCGGTTTTGATGATGGTGGTAGAGACGCTGTCTAACACATCTCCCACTGGTGTTTAACTGGGCTGAGATCTAGTGACTGTGAAGGTCACAGCACATGATTTGCATTATTTTCATATTCAAACCATTAAGTGACCCCTTGTGCCCTGTGAATGGAGCACTGTCATCCTGGAAGAGACCACTCCCATCTGGATCACTTAGACCAGCCTTGTATTCATTTACAGTGACACTTTATTATAAGTGGACCCAAAACACGCCAGAAAAAATGCCCCCACAGTGTAGCAGAGCCACAGCATCCCCTCACTGTAGGGGTCAAACATTCAGGCCTTGCCCATGGGTTGAGAATATAGTATGATGACACATCTGACCATATCACTTCTCAAATGTGTATTCATTGTTTTAATAAGTGTTTTATGCTTGTAGGTTTTTGCACAACTGAACTCTCAAATGTGCATTCATTGTTTTAATAAGTGTTTTATGCACTGTAGCTCCACTAGCCCTATGTAACTGTCAGTGACTGTTCTAGCTGAGTCTGATCACATCCTGCATTGACATTCTCAGTCACCTGAGGAAGAGGTGCTCTTCTGTTTTTTCTTACATATTGCATTAATGTGCAAGCGTCATGATCTTTCCCATAGAGCTAAATGCAGATGTCATTTAAGTCACTGTTCCTATTGAAACACCAGCCATTTGAGTTGCCCCAACAATGGACCCTCTTTCAAAGTCGCTTACTTCTTTTCCTTTTGCCATCTTGATCCAAAATCAGAATCACCTGGGCCTGCTCAGCATTTTTATACATGGCACAGAGCATGACTGGATGTTACATGTTCATTTGTACCATGTAGTGCACAAATGTGAAAGCATCTTCATTTGTCATATTTCTCCACTCATTTATTCAGATTTTTCCTTTAATTTGTCACCAGTCTGTATTTTGAGTTGTTCATTCCTATCGGCAGAAACCAAAAATGCTGCTTGGACTCTGTGAAATCTGCAGGAGACTCATTAGATGCTGAATTACAACCATATTTCTAAGTCAATGAAAAATCCAGGAGATTTTCTCAGGAGGCGAGCACATGCTCTGAACCCAACTCATTTCTTTGTGTAAAAGTTCAAAACACCATGTTTTATATCTCTTGGCTGCAAAGATTGGGGTCATGCTTCCTGGGTGAACTGTCCATGAATCAAAGAAAAATACACATGAATTCTGCAGAACTTAAACAGCATGATATGTTTCTTGTTTCTCTCTCATTTTCTCCCTCTGTTACCTTTACCTCTCCTTTGCTCAGCCCACTCTGATTCATTTTTCTAGTATCAATTCCACAATACAAACCCACTGAAAACCTTTCCCTCACACACAGTTTACATTCCTCAGCAACAGCGACTGCTACTTGGTGACCACACAGGCTCAGATGAAGCAATAGCAACACTGACAATGAGTTCAATCCTTATTCATATGCCAATATCTGCTGAGACACTCAGTACAATAAATCAGAGACAGACACTGTAGTACTCAAAGGGACACCTCCTCCCAGCTCAGGATTGTCATATTCACTGAAAAGGATAAAAACAGCTTTATAAAGCAATGTGCATGAAAAAAAGAACCCGATAAACATGCTAATTGCTAATCTCTGAGCAATCAGTGATAACTCCATATAAATTTTCTCTAGCAAAAATAGGGCTTAATAAGGTTTAAGTAGGGCTAGTAATATACACTATATACTACCAACTAAAGTCAGGAAAGCGGATGAAACAAGTGTCTACAGCTAATACTGAAACTGAAAACATCAGCATGCTAAAATGCTAACAATGACAACATTGAGATGTTATTTTTTGGTCAATATAATGCTTACTTTATAGTTTAGCACACATCGCAACTAGCACTAAAAACTAAGTAAAGCTGAAGCTGAAGGGAAGCAAAAATTTCCAAAGACAATTTGTTGTTTTTCTGTGTTGTGATTGTAAACCTGAAAATCTTTTGATTTAATCACACATAACAAGCAATTTAAATATATCACCTTGGACTACATTAAATTGTATAAGAATTCTTCAGCATTTCCTGATGTTTTAAGTGTCAAATGATTAATCAATTCATCAATAATATAATCTGTGGATTAACCATTCATGAAAGTTATCATTACTTGTAGCCTCAGTTAGGTACAGCTAAGACTGATAGGAATGTCAGTTTTGGTCAGATACGACAGATTCACATTGTGACCTGATGATGATGATGCGAGATGAAAACGTAAGAGATCACTAACATCATTACCTGATATCACACTTCATATCAGTCTATCCAAAAGCTTTTGAGAAAACCACAAATGTGACATGGCACTAGAGAGAAAGTGATAGGATTCCTCTTGGGACCATGAGTGACTCAGCCATTCCAACTAGTTGTTGAAATACTTCAAATACTAAAATATCAACTGCCAACAATGCCATCTCTAGAGCAATACCACTAGCATGACTTAAAACTGTTCAGCTACAACTATAACTGGGGCGCCTCAGTGGGTTGTGAAAGTTAACTATAAATGGGGCGCCTCAGTGGGTTGTGAAAGTTCACCACAGGGTGGGTTCTCACAAACTGTAGAAGTAAAAATAAAATCCACAATAGCACCTGCTTCAGTGCCAAGCATATAAGAAGAGGTTGAGGAGAAAGACTGCATGGAACACACACAGACCAACAAACCTGTTTGTTGCTGTATCCACTAATTTCTTCTTATGTTTGGGGACTACTGAAGATGAACCTTCACAAAGCTGCGCAGCAGTGAGAGTGAGACTGTGTAACACTGCTAGGAGATGAGATTCTCGTCACTTCAACCATATTATATCCTAACAATCCAGAGCAGGCTTTCTCTGGCTCCCAGTGGACTGTATTTACAACTGGGTCTACTCAGTTTGGACATACGTCAGATGAAATGAGTCCAAGATCACTCCCATGGTGTTGGCAGAAAATAAAACATACTTGTGTGATTCATCAAAGTGGTATGTTTTCCTCAAGGAAAGTGGTGATCCAGTAAGCATCCCTCAGCTACACTCATGATCCGTTTGCCTTGGGGCCACTCATTCGGAGCCACAAGAGAAACAATGGAACGTTCACTAATGTTGTCCTCGTGTCAGAATTGAGGCCTTTGCAGGGTTCAGTTGAACATTGTAATGCTAACTTTGTGTCTGTCTCTGAGACGAGTACTGCAGCCTAAATGTTTTTCCCTTTCAGATCAGTTCATTATTACATGTGTCTGAGAAAAGGTTCCCTAGGAGTCTGTTTCAGTCAAATAATGGAGTTCTAAATAAACATATAGTAGAATTGTGAGTGAAAAATCCTATTCAGGAAGTCTAAACAGAGTTAATTCATAAATTGACAGTCAGTACATTTTTAGACTAATGATTGCATAGTCTTGACAAGATAATAGGCAGTAATACAGAACTTTGTTGTTATTCATAACATTATAAAGTCATAAACCAAAGTCCTGCCTATCAGGTTATACAGAGAGTGTGATGTGAAACAACTCAAACTTACTTTGTTCAGTGGCAGTGTGCAGACTGGAGATAGAAATCTTCTGCTCGGTGCGCCTTAGTGTTTCACAGACAAGCTTCAAGCTTCTTTTAAATACTTGGCTAGGACAGAGAGGACACACCTTCTGCTGCACAGACTGTAGTCAGTTTAGATACTGCTCCAACAACTGAAATAATTTAGGTAGGGCCCAAGCCACCACTTAAGAGATTTTGTCATTTTGGGCATCCAAAACAGTTTACGTTTACATTTTGTCCATATTCAGCAACATAGTCTCTGCTCAATGTCTTATTGTTAATTCCAAGTTATCTCTTTGTGACTTTGACCATTAATCTCCAAGTTTTTTGCTAAAATAGCATGCACATAAACATCTATGAAGAATAAGATAATAGGCCTTTTTCACAGAAGATATTTAGACATCTCTAAAAGCACAGGTGTAATCAATAACATTAACATTGGCTCTGTTCAAGTGTCCCAGTAATCATTAGGTGAGCCAGCACACACAATAACAGGATACTGAAACTGAGGTAGCTACATGGAATTTAGCTAGCAGGCCTGTGCTTCTCCTACTGAGACCATATCTTCCATGAAAAAGTCCTATAAATCAGCTAAGCAATAGGATTTGGTGACAGACAGCTAATCTACTGTGTGGGAGGGCCCGCCTTTTTCATATCAATATGTGAACGCCTGTAGGAAGTGTGTGTATGCCAACGTTTATATAAAATCTCAGACACGACAGGTGCTGGTAGACTGAATCATGAGCTACAAACTCTAACCGGTTAAGTGGGTTTTCACACTGAGTTTCTCAGTTGTATGACAGGTCAACTCTGAACAAAGCAGCCTGATTCCGTTGCATAATTTAGGGTGAGCCTTAACAAGTGTCCCATCCCAAAAGGAGGATTAAATAAATGTTTGTGAAACAAAAAATAAACAGGAATGTCATAAGAGTGGGCTCTCTAGTAGGTTTACAATTTATCTCTATGTTGATTTGCCAATGTTCATCTTATCAGGACAGTTGTATTACAGAACTGCTTAAGTGAGGGTTAAAATAATTTATAACAATTTAACACCATATCTCCATTAACTACATTTTATATTATAAGCTGAAATGGGTGGTGTTTAAATTCCATTTAATTTCAGTTTGTGTTTTGGTTAGGCACACCCTATGGTTTTCCATTTGAAAAATACTGTGACATCAGAGCAAAACAAAGAACTTCATGTCACCAAGATGAATTTCTCACACAAAGACAATGGTGTAACTGACCACTGAATCAGGTGACACACTCCTAATGGCTCTGGCTTTTAAATTACTCTTTCAAGTTACCTAAAGAATGGATTTGAAATTCTGGTGCATGCACTGCAGGCTCCTGATCATATTCTTCTGTGATCAAAGAAAAGAAAAACTTATGCTTGTTGGAAGGCAGTGACACGATGTGTGCTTTTTTTTTTTTATTACTGGTTCTGTGACTTACTGTGGAACAGTACTAGGCCATTTATTAAATGGTTTACATAACCTTTAAAAACGTGTATGAGAACTATGTGATGCTGTGATCATCGGTTATGAACTTTTCTTCTCATTCAACCATTTTGAAGTTTACAGAAGCAATAAGCCAGGATAGCTGCATACCACCTCATATACAGTACAGTTCATTTACTCCAGTATGAGTGTTTCTGCATGCATCTGTACAGGCAGTTGAAGAAATGCACCATAGGTTATTACACTCTCACATACATACACACACACATACATTCTAGATGGAGAGGATTCTGACTTATCATAGCATTCTGAAGTATCAGGCTTTCAGAACCTCAGAGGTCATTGTGATTGACACCCACTCGCTCTTTCACAAACAAACAACGCTTGAGAAGGTGAAGGAGAACTGAACGATGGGACAATGATGGCAGTGATTTGTGCCCTCCATCTGATCAGAGCAGAAGGTCTGTGACTGAGGGCAACAGCTTGACTATCTCTGGCTCGATGTCGGCCATCTGAGTGACAGGGTTTCCACGGAGATCGAGGTGCTTCAGCTTGGGACAGGAGGCCAGCGGCTGAAGATCTGTCAATGTAGAGATTTCTGTGCATCGGGTTAATGAAAAAGCCTTCCAGTGTGATGTGCTGAGATAACACTGGGGGCAATTAAGCAAAAATATGCCAACATATTCCCCACCACTGGTGTTAAAGGTCTACATGTCATATAGGACATTGGGATATGAATAAATGTTTCTAATGCGTAAAACCCAAAGTTTACATTAGATAGGTATGCACTCAAACTGTAATGCAACTGTCATTTAAAAAACAAACTTGAACATAGCCCCAGTGTCATAACCTACAAACCTCATTAATTCCTCAAAAGCGTATCAGGTTAAGTGGAGCATGAAGAGGAAGAAATCTGCAGCAATGTGTTGTTCAGTGTCTCTTCCTACTCCCTCATGATGCGGTTTGCTGTGTAATTCCAGCACTTGTTTTTATTTACTCCACTGCCAAAGAAAGCTTCAGGTTAAAATAATATGTGCATTGAACTCAAGTATCTGGTGACTGTTGCAAATTTCTCAGCTCTATAAACACCATCGATGGGTTTGGTGCATCTTTTACATGTCACACAGTCAGCTGCTCACACTTTTTCCTTGGGTTGTTTGGCAGGATTGAGCCATGCGCACTCAGAGGTGATTCACACATTTCTTGAGTCACTAGTGCACTGTGAGAGGCGTATGGAGATATCATACAATATGATTCCTGTGGCACTGGTGCTGCAGGATTAACAGAACAAGACGTTTTCCAGCAAACACTCTGATGAACAGGAGTCTTTAATTTAAGGATACTGTTATTCTTCAAGCGGACTTCCTCCAGTTTCAGAAGGTGATACACTCCCTCCAGGTTTTCTATGCAATTGTTATCAGCCTCCAAAACCTGCAAGCATTAAGAAGTCAGTCAATTGCAAAAAAGTAATCAAGTGTGTCTTTCTGTTGTGAAACACACCAAAGTAACAGATACAGTGTCCGTGTAGGGGAAATAAATGGAATTGAATTGCAGCATTATCACCTCCAGGCACTGCAACATGGCGAACTGAGGAGGCAGTCGCTGCAGCTGATTAGAGGACAGATTGATATGGGTAACCAATAAAAGCTGGTCAAGGTGGCACAAAGTGGTCAGATTCTGTTAGAGGAAAAAAAACAAAAAAACAGAAGACATCCGTTTTCAGAACATCCCTGTATAGCCTATGGGATTAAAGATAAGCACATAACTCTGAGCCAACCTTTTCAGATATGCTGAAGACACGCACTTCAGCATACTCCATTTTCAGGATGGTGTTTTCGATCATGAACTTGCTGCAGAGGTCACTGTAATATGCAGAGCGCATGGAATCCACTTCCTGAAAAAGACAATCAGAGCATTCAGTCATTGTTCTGTGCCTTTTTTCTAATCTATACCATAGACGGTTTCTGGTTGTTTGGTGCTCACTTTCAGTGTTTGGAAATGAGCAAGTGTCTCCTTTTCATATCCTAGAGGGTCGAGTGCCCTCATCAGGAGAATAATGGTCAGTAAGCACCCTGCAAAGGAAAAAGAGACTGGTTCAGTGGCTACACAGAAACCATCATGATTAGCATCAGTATATTTGTGAAGCTTGGCTCTGTAAAGAATGTGGAATTAACTGGATGTAATGTTAAAGCACTTACACTTGTTGAGAGGCTCCAATTCTTGCAGCTGGTTGCATGATTGTAGCTCTGACTGTAACACAGAGGTCTTCTCTACTGAAAGCTCGCTCCTACAGAGAGAGAGCAGACTGAGTTCTTACTCCTTTTAAACAAAAAAAAAAAAAAGCAGTGCTAAGACACAAGTACCTGAAAAGTTCCTGATCTGTAGCAGAGTCCCGACACCAACTCTCAGTTCGACCTGGGGAAGTTCAAAGTTCATAAAGTGAAGAAGGAAATATACACCTAGTGTCACTTCAATAGGTAAACATGTACAATCTACTGCAATGCAGTACAACATTCTGTCATGAATTCCACCTTTACAAAGCTCAAAATTTTGGCCACATTGCTGTAAATGAGCAAATTCAACTATGTTTATTACTGAGAACATAATGTAGTAAAAGGCAGTGTACTGGACTGCACTGGGTGGTATTCCCATTATATTTTTTCTACCTATTCACAGATGAGAAGGTTAGAATTTCAGAAACCCCTCTAAACATAATTGAGTCCAGTACAACACCACCGTGACCTCAATGCGAAAACATACAATTCAATTAACCCCTCTATGACAGCGTGAAAAAGACTGATCATTATAGCCATCATCAAAGAAAACTTTATGGCAGAGCGGTTGTTTTAGATTGCATTATCCAGGTGTATTTAATAAAGTGGCTGCTGAGTGTACATTTGCAGTCCTACTCCTAACAGAGCATCATGTCAGGAAACACAGTGTGTATCACCTGTGTACAGAGCACAGTCTCTGTTTGTGGGTTTCTCAGTCCAGTGCACGGTCAGATTATGTTCATTGTTGATGTCGTTTATTGTTCCAGGAGGAAGATCGCAAATCTGTGTCAGTGTTAAGGTTAAAGATAGAAACATGAAGTTCATTCCACAACTGAAACAGAGGACTCTGACTGCAACATAAATTAGCCACCTTAAAAAAAACAAAACAAAAGGAGAGACAGAAACCCACCCGGGTCTACAGTGTCAGTGTGCATGCTAGGCTGTATGACTAAAAAGAGACAAACATACAGATTATATCTAAGACAAAAGCAGCCTAACAGATTCAAAATGTTTAAGGCATACTACAGGTTGGTGAGCTAATGAGCATTCATATCAACAGATTCATGTCAGCAACAGCAGAGCAAACTCCATCCAGTGACGATGGACTGACTGTGTTGATATGGTTGAAAGCTGAGAAAAAAGCTGGTCCATGAGTTGGGATTGTTTTTTTGTTTGTTTTTTTTTATAAATAGTACCTTTTCCAAATAAATTATCAAAAAATCTTTAGATTTTTTTCCCCCCAAAGTCAGGGTCATATGTGTTTTTGTTTTTTTTTTAATCTAATGAGTTCAACAATTTTTTCTTAAATGAAACCAGCATTATTCTGCTGCTTCCACAAAGGTCAGGTATAAAGCAGCACTCCTGTGACTGTGGGTAAGTCACAGCCCTGCTGAATGACATTTCAGAACAGACTCCTCCCAACATGCTAGTTCAGCCGTCTTTGTGAGTAAACTTGGTAACCTGTGTCACTGTTAGTGTAAAATGAGCCATTACAAGAAGTCTTGCTACATTCCACTGCAGTACCCTGATACCCGATAAAGATTTCATTATGAAACTCTTTCTCTTGTTTCACATACCACATCAGCATGTGGTATGTGAAACATGATGAGAACAGAATGTTAAACAACTATGTTGTTCAATCAGCAGCACACAAGGACATTTACCATTAACGTCTCTGGTTTAATTGGTCAGTTTTGAGTCCTAAAGGAAAAGGATACCCAGACAGGGCTGTGTTTAAAACATGGGTGGACACTCCTCCATTCCACTCTCTGGGGCTGACCGTCAAGGACCAGCAGCAGGCCGACCGACGCCACCTGCCAGACAAAAGGCGAGAACAGGTGTTGTTCAGTGAATACAGGGCACCATAAGGACACTATGTTTGTTAAAAACATTTCTCAGTAGTAAATTTACTTTTTCCAAAGATCAGTCGATGGGCCTCATGTCACATATTATCTTAAAATTCTCTTGCTTGTTTCTTAAGGTTTGCTTCCTCAAGTGTTTCAAGATAGATTCACCAAAATGAGCAGGTTTGTTGGAAATTACTCGTTTGAGCCCGATGAATGGCACATGCTCCTGAAGAGGTGCACATTTGTGACATTTCATCCCAAGTGTGACTGACCCCCCTACAAGTGCCATATAAGACTTTGTTTTCTGCTCCTATTTGAAAAACTCTTACTGAAGTAAGACAGAATTAGCATAAATTAGACTTCAATTTCCTCAATTTTGTTATATCTAAAAAAATACATAAACTGCTAACTGGATGAAATAACTTGTGCCAGGTGAGGAAGGAAGACGAGGTTGACCACTGTACATAACTACCACTGCTACATGTTTATATAGCTATCCTATACAGTTCATGTAGTGACATGTTGAGTGACATAAATAAAATGACTTTAGTTTAGAAAACAGAGCACAATGGAGTGTTGCATTTCTGCTGCCTTCCTGTGTTGTATGCTGTAAACTAGGAGAATCCACATAGTAAAGGGGTGTCACTTTTAGTTTTTGGTAAAATGCAAATGTAAACTACTTCAAAGACAACAGTGGCACATACTATAATGCTACTAATGGTTAATTTTTATGTTGTTGTGTTTTGAGTAACCTATGCTGCATTTCCACTATCAGAACCAGTCTACCCCATACTTCCCTTAACCATCACCAAGCATAGTCTCTGGGGTTGACGCGGACCATCCTGCTTTATGTTCCCACTAGGACTGGGCTTAAAAATAATTTTTCAATTGAACTCAGTCTTCATTTGAATGATCCAAAAACCTATTAATAAATTGCCAAAATAAATCTTTTAATATATGCCTTTTTCTATGGATGCATTACGTTTTAACTGTTAGTCTTGTGTGATCTTGAGGCTTTTCTTCTTCATGCAACAAGATGTGGCCTTGTGAGAGTTACAGAATTAGTTCTCTGAGAATCTCTTTCATATCCAAGCAAAATGTTTATAGTATCTGAAATAAACCTAACTGGATAGATACTGAATCAAATTGGAAATTGGGATGTTGTTAATCAGAACTGAATCAATTCAGGAAATCAATGGTGATTCCCAGGCCTTTTTCCCCACTGTATTTTCTCTCTGTCAGTCTGTTTAGAGGAGGAAGGGTTTACTCCTCTCACACATGCAGTCAGCTGTGTGTTTACACATGGTGCTTGTAATGCTAATCCTTGAGGTGTGAGCATGCGGACATTTAACCAATCAGCTGGAAGTGCTGAGCTGCAAGTTGGTAACTGTGAACTTTGTGTCAAGTATTGAAGAGTGACATAACACAGACAAATATATGTATCCAACTGTCATAAAGCTGCTAGAAAGATAAAGCCTCATTTATGAGAACAAGTAAACAAACTCACATTAACAGGCCTGGAGAAGGCAACAGCCACTCTCTCCTCCTCTCGACTGACATACACACAACTTATCATCTCTTCTCTTTCCGCTGGTAACAAGACAGAAAACGTTGGATTTTGCAACTCATGTATGATAAAGTACATCAAATATTTGTATGTACAGATAAATAGTGCATGCAAATATTTAAAGGAATTTAAACATACAGTGAGTACGGAAAGTATTCAGACCCCCTTAAATTTTTCACTCT